AAGAACCTAACATGGCACCTGTAGCAGTTACACAACCATAAAAGCAGTTCAACAGTTTTAGATAGGTCAAAAGGGAAAATCACATCCTTTGGGACTTGAATGGTTCATTTGTAGAAGTCCTGATGAATTTGCTTTATTCAAAGTCAATAAGAAATTGTGCCCATTGAGAGGCAAAATACATTGCACATAGTCCACCTCACATTTGTATGGCTAGAGATCAGGATTTGGAAAGTCCATGACATGTTCACCGCCCAATGCGTTTGTTACAAGAGATGCAACAGAAAAGTAGAGAATAAGCATAAAATAATCCATGAGTAACACTACCAATGCCCTTTGAAATTCAAGATTTTGTGCATCAAAGTGCATTTTTTAGCAGGAAAAAATGTTGTAGACAAACCTGTCAAACATAAGAAAATGGACACCAATGCCATGACCTTCACTTTCCGTTTGAAGCTGAGGGCGAATAGTCTAAATAATAAGAGGGCCAAATGAGTCAAAAATATAAGAAACTGGAATCTATCTCAAATTCTTAAAATGGAAAAAAAAGAAAAGAAGAAGAAGACGAATCTGAATATAACTAAGAATCCCTAAGATCTGGCGAGCTATCATATTTGATTTTACATAACAAGCAACAGACATGTGAATAAAAAATATGAAATGGTTAAAGAACTTCAATATCGCAACTTCCAACCATCATAATGATAATTGCCATGACAGTCACGTGAGCAGGCAACTTTTCATTGTTAAAAAGTACCATATATAAGTTTTATTAATACATTCTCATTTTCCCATTCATGATACAAATTCAAACCTACAATTTTACTAAATACAGCAAAAAAATGCTATCATTCATGCTCAGATGTAGCTTTGAGCAATGCATTTAAAAGTGCCACATTGCACCTGAGCAATAAGGGGGGCACTCCATATAGGCTCTCTAGGGAGCTACATAGAATTTGAGGCAGAAAATTTAATAATAGCAAAATAAAAAATAATTTGACTGGCTGACTAACTGGAGCAAATTGTTAGTGCTGCATTGCACCTGAGCAATAAGGGGGGATGTAGCTTTGAGCAATGCATTTAAAAGTGCTACATTGCACCTGAGCAATAAGGGGGGCACTCCATCTAGGCTCTCTACGGAGCTACCTAGAATTCAAGGCAGAAAAATTAATAATAGCAAAATAAAAAATAATTTGACTGGCTGACTAACTTGAGCAAATTGTACTCTAAAAATTAACAAGTTTGCTCCCAGTCAAAGACGTGAGTTTGGCCACCAAGTTTGTCACAACCAAAGGCAATAAACTAAGCCTACTTGCCCAAGAAACACAATTCAAGGCACCCAGAGACTAAGCTCCTTGTAGTGTCGCAATGGTGGTTACATTCTGTTCCAAAAATATCGAGGGAGGTCAAGGGACTAAGTTTTGCAAAATCCATTTTAAGGCCTGAAAAGCAACTTGTTTCCCTAAAAATTGCCAAGCAGACAATTACTTACATGAAATGAAATATATTAAAATAAAATAATAATAATAATAACTAACAACTACTACTAAACCAAAGATGATAATTTGCTAACATTTTTCTGGAGTTAATCTACACTGCCAAAGAGTGTCCACATAATCACTTGAGAAAACAAATTGGAGCTCTAGCTTTTGTCTAATTCTTCCCACGGTGTATGGTGCGAATGTATATGCACATATATACGTAGCTATACTGAAACATATATCTGCCAAGAGGTAGGAGTATAACACATGCTGAAGCCCCAGATGTTCCGATCTATGTTAGGAATGACAGCACATGGGATTTACGACATTAGTAACAAATCAACAATGACATGTTCAAATAACTAGTCCATATCATGTGGTTTGCTTAACTGGTAGAAACTAGAAAGTCATATGCATCGAGTTGTATCTTACAAGGGGAGTGTTCATGCATTTTAAGTTTTTAACTCTACTCCCAACTACAAGATCCTATCTTCCAATTTACTGAACAACAAAATGAACTTGCCTTAAGAGCAGCTAGAAACTCCAAGCTGTTATAGCAACGAATATATAAAAAGCGCTTCAGGCAAGCCAAAAACAGAACCTCATCAAGATGTGTATCTTGTTCAACCAAAGAATGACTATCTGGTCCTGCACATGTGCAAGTTACACACTTCAACTTAATACAATAGAAACACATTCAGATTTTACAGAATTTTCTTTTGTTCTTGAGAAATGTTTTGACAGAATATAGATCAACCAAATAGCCCAGTGGTATGCATGGTAAAAAAGGACTGCATACGCATAAAAATAATTTTCCTCATGCATAAAAAGGAAAAAGGTTTGTTCTTGAGATATGTTTTGACAGAATATAGATGGACCAAAATAGCCCAGTGGTATGCATGGTAAAAAAAAGGACTGCTTACACATAAACATAATTTTCCTCGTGCATAAAAAGGAAAAAGGAATCAAGAGACTAACAAGCAAAACAATTTCACAAAGATCTCCATGACTGACATTAGACCAACCCAGAAATATGAATACTACAATTTCATTCATGCATATCGAATAGAACAAAAATTTTCCAGTATAAACCAGAAACAAATTGCTATCCATTTGATGATGTGTATGTCATATTAGTGGTTCGTTCAACACACCAATATAGAACATATTTCCACCCAATTTTTAATTTTTACTACACAATAGGAATGCTTATTACAGGAATAAATTTTTAAAAAATTTACAATTATAACAATGCATGAACAAAGGTCTGCAACATACCCTGAGCCCTAACTATGCGACGTTTTAAGGATTGAGAAAGATAAGAGACATCGAAGCGGCAATCCAGATCAAAATACATCACCAATCTTTCCAAACCGCCATAATGGATTCCATTCCATTCTTTTGGCAAGATACAATTAATTGCAGCCTGCAAAGACAGAGAAACCACTAATTGACCTCTAGATAAACACTCCATGTAGGACTAAATTCAGGTATCATCTCTCTCTCTCTCCTTCTCCTC